TCATTGGTCCAGCTAATGAGCTTACTGAGGATCAAGACCTGGCTACTGACAAAGATCATATCAAGTTGTACGGCCCAGAGGAAGGCCTCTCGTGGGTGGCCAGGCCAGTTACTGGACAGAGTAGTCTAGCTCTTGTGTCCAGGCAAGGGAGCATGGTGCAGCAGAGTGTGCCTCTTATGGATCCTCTTGTGACTCTATTTGGTAGTGTCCATGAGAATCTCCCTGATACAGGAAGTATGAGAAGCATGCTATTCCCCAATTTCGGAAGCATGATCAGCACCATGGATCCTCATGTCAAAGATGATCACTGGGATGAGGAGAGTCTGCAGAGAGAAGGTGATGATTATCCTTCGGATGGCGGTGCAGATTCTGATGACAATCTACAAAGTCCATTGATATCACGTCAAACAACCGCTGTGGAAACCATAGTCCCTCATCCCCATGGCAGCACTCTGAGCGTGAGGCGGCATAGCAGCCTTATGCAAGGCAATGCTGGAGAGGGTGTAGGCAGCATGGGCATTGGTGGTGGTTGGCAGTTGGCATGGAAATGGTCTGAAAGGGAAGGTGAAGATGGAACTAAAGAAGGAGGCTTCAAAAGGATATATTTGCATCAGGAGGCAGGCCCTGGCTCTCGACGTGGGTCTCTCGTTTCAGTCCCTGGTGGTGATATTCCTGAAGATGGTGAATTCATACAAGCTGCGGCTTTGGTAAGTCAGCCTGCACTTTACTCAAAGGAACTTATGGATCAGCATCCTGTGGGACCAGCGATGGTCCATCCATCTGAAACTGCTTCAAAAGGTCCGAGTTGGGCTGCTCTTCTTGAACCTGGAGTCAAGCGAGCGCTCATTGTTGGAATTGGAATTCAAATATTGCAACAGGTGGAGTATTATTCTTTTATCATTCTGTTGCTTCTTTTGGTTGTTTTACTAGGATTAAATTTGATAGCTACAAAGTCCTTGAATGCTAACGAAATGGACTTAGTTTCAAATACATAATATCCTTGGAGTTGAGCATTCTGTTTCTTCTTTAAATATAAGTATCTTGGGATTGTGATTAGTGTAGGATCATGTAAGGAGTACTTGACCAAACTACACAGAACATCCTCTTATCATTTATCTGGAAGCAGATACAAAGTAGCTTACCTTTATAACGTCTAATTTATTAAGTTTTAAGGAAATATTTTGGTATGTGTCTATCTGAAGCATTATTATCCTCGCAACAAACAACTCTGCAGTTTTTTTTTTATGTTTAGTTCAACTTTGTCAATAGGGTGGGGATGAATCATTTTCTCCATTAGTGTATTTTCTTTTGTTATCTTTACAGAGTCTCTTCTTCTGTACTCACTTCATTATGTAGTTTTATAATGAGAACTACCTTGTAATTAATAATTCCATATTATTGAGGCACTGCTCACTGTTATTAGACAACAAGGCTTGGAATGTTGCCATCTTACGACTGTAATATTTTGTCTGCAGTTTTCCGGTATAAATGGAGTCATGTACTACACTCCTCAAATCCTTGAGCAGGCAGGTGTAGGAGTTCTTCTTTCTAACTTTGGCATCGCATCAGACTCAGCATCCTTCCTCATCAGTGCGTTAACAAACTTCCTGATGCTCCCTTCTGTAGCTATTGCAATGCGATTCATGGATGTGGCTGGAAGAAGGTAATGTTCTCTTGATTCCTTTCTTCTGCATTAGATTAAGGATGGTTTTGGTTATGTCCTCAAGATTTATTGCTGGAAAATCCATGAAATATGTGTAGTGAGTCTCGATTTGCATGTAGGACCATATTTTTCCTTATATTGGTTCTGGTAGTCTCCTTGGAATTTTTCCGAGCCATATATATATATATATATCCAAGGTTGGAAAATCGATGCCCTATCTGCAATGAGTTGTGTTTCGTGACAGATAGTATTCCCTCTGTCCAATTTACACAACAAAGATGACATCATTCTGTAAATAATTAGTTACTCAAAGTTTATACATATCAAAAATTCAAATTCAATTAACTAATCCAATTTAAATGTAGATGAGATGTTCTCTGTCTAACTTTCCAACTAGTATACTTAATATTTTCTGATTACTACTTGTACAATACACAAGCCATATATCATCTTAAACTTCTTTGAAAATGTTTTTCCTTGAGTCGAGGGTCCATCGAAACAACCTCTCTACCTTCCAAGGTAGAGGTAATTAAAAGTGTCTGTACACCCTATCCTCCCTAGACGCCACTTGTGGATTACACTGTGTATGTTGTTGTTGATTGATTATAATAAAGAAATACAAACTCTTCATCGTTGTATTATTTATTTTATGCTGTCGAATGTGTCATTAAAATGATAAATTGCAGGTCGCTGCTGTTGTACACTATTCCTGTTCTCATACTATCACTCATCTGTCTTGTCATTGGTAACACTGTCAACCTCGGGAGTGTGGCTCATGCAGTCGTTTCTACTATTTGCGTGATTCTCTACTTTTGCTTCTTTGTAACGGGCTATGGACCAATCCCAAATATCCTCTGCTCAGAAATTTTCCCAACAAGGGTTCGTGGTTTGTGCATCGCCATCTGTGCTCTCGTCTTCTGGATATGTGATGTCATTGTGACTTACACACTGCCTGTGATGCTCAACTCGATTGGCTTATCTGGAGTTTTTGGTATTTATGCCATCGTATGTGTCATTTCTTGGATTTTCGTCTTCTTGAGGGTTCCTGAAACCAAAGGCATGCCCTTAGAAGTCATTACAGAGTTCTTCGCTGTTGGTGCAAGACAAGCTGCTATCGCGAAGCATGAGTAGTTTAAGGTATCTTCTGTCGGATTTACTACGAGTATGTAGTAAACTTGTAGAAAATAAAATTTCATTCTCTCTAGGTCCTCCATTTTACATCCATCTGGTACTGCCATTTCTCAATAGTTATATGCTCAGAAGTTATATACTACCATTTTGAGATGTATGACAATGTCCAAATTAGTATATTCTCTAAGTTGTGGTAGTCTTTCTTTTTTCCCCCCCAAAAAGTAAGAAAATACATTTATTCATTCATCTTGTCAGTTGGGATATTTGGCCATCATGTGATGAAAATATTGAGTACAAATCTTTAAAATACGTGTAAAGTTTCAATGAGCCATGTATTTGGTAAGGTTATATTTATAAATAGGCTAAATATATCAAAAGCTTTTTAAAGTTTTCGCGAAAATTTTCATTTAGACATCTCCAATTGAAGTAAACTTTTAAACATAAGTTTAAAATGTGCCTAGTGAATACCTCAAACGCGTGGTGAATTGAGTGATTTTCACTTGGAGTTGAGCGTGTAAAATTCTTTTCTTCTTCTCTCTTTTTAGCTTGAATTTAAGCTTTGTTTCTAAAGACACCGACAACACGTGAAACTTTTTTCTTTCTTCTCTCTTTGTAGCTTGAATTTAAGCTTTGTTTCTAAAGACACCGACCAAAAAGAAAATAAATGGGATTAGCCATGTGTCAATCCTTAATTAGATGATTTGCCATGTTTATTTTTGCTAGTACTTACCTTTGAGGTGACTAAATTAATAGATACAATTTAAAATATACTTTAGGTGTTTATTAGGTAACAATATTTGTTGCAGGAAAATAGGATTCCTCAACCATATTTCTTGTTTTCTTCTAAATACATGACGTTTTATATCTATGTTCGATATTATTGTTCTTTTGGTGATTAGTTTCACATACTAATTGTTGTCTTAGACATTTAAACAAGGTTAATTTATTACTCAATTTGAAATATTTTTCAGTTATTTTACTTGCGTGAAATTCGAACTGTATCACATAAAATAAAATAAAGCAAAACAAGAAGAGATAATGAAGTAGGAAAAGGAAATCAATATGGGTCGTGGTGCACTGATGGGAGTGTTTCACCCTTAACCAGAGGTCTCGGTCGAGCCCTGGGTATGAAGAAAATCATGTTGGGAGCGCCACCCCCCGAATGGACCCTGTAGAGCGCGATCCGAATTTAATCGGAGCTCCAATGTGGACTCCGGACACCAAATGAAAAACCAAAAAAAAAAAAAGTAGGAAAAGGAAACATGCTTATTGCATGTCTCCTGGAAAGGCTCTTAACCACCCTTGTCTTCATCCCTACAATCACTCTACCTTTTACCCATAAAAACTGTTCCTTTCTGTTCCTCATTCTTATCCCATGTTTCTCCCCTTCACATGTCTAACGTTCCCTTACCTTCCTCTACGTTCCCGTGACGTTTATACTTATCGTCAACAAATCGACTTATATTTATCCTTAACTTTAACAAAATTTCAATGTGAACTCTAACTGAAGTCTAATGAAAAGTAAATTTAAACTATGGTCAAATCAACCCCACCCTAAGTGGAAGAATTTATGACTTTGATTAAATATTTCTATTTGTCATTCATTCCCTTTTAAGTGGAAATTAATATTACTATATATTATAAAGTTGTAATTAAGAACTAGGTCTTCTAGACATTAACAATAGTGGGATTTCATGGGTCCTGCCTAGTTACTACGTTGGACGGTTCCCATTAAAAGGGAATAAATGGCTTCAATAAGTTAATTAATATACTATATATTTCACCACTAACTTGGAGTAAGATTTATCCTAATATTATAATAGTAAAAGGTTAGGACAAGAAAAAAAGAGTGTATATTTTATAGTATGTTAATTAATTCTCGATAATGCGATTTGTTAGTATTATCTATTTATTTAACTAGTAACATTTTTGGTAGCTTATTTGGTGGTTTACCAACTTTATCGACCTCACCGCTACAACTTGTACAAACAATATTATTATAAAAAATTCCAGATTTTATTAGCTAACAATTTAAAACATATATATTTAGTTAATGGAGCTTCAAAAATAATAATATGGCTCACGGGGGGAAAAAGGCGGAAAGGTGATTGACGGCCGCACACTTTAAGCTAAACAAGAAATTAAATGACAAATTAACACTAATTCAAACAGTAATAATCTTTGTTAATAAATTCAAACAGTAGTTTTCTGTAACCCTAATTGATGATATTAATATAGTAGGGCTGAATGAATATATACGTTTACATAGATTTAATTAATATAGGAGTAGTATATACACACAGCCTAATTAACTAATTTTTACCTAAATTTTACGGTAGAAATGCATTTACATGATAATTTCCCGGTAATCGGCTTTCCGGCTCAGCTACGGGAGCTGACGACGAGCTTGCTACCGGCAACTCGCCGCACTTATGACATCTCGTCACTACTAAAATCTGTCGGCAAGAAGGACATGACGAGTGCGAGCCTAACCAGGTATCGATGCATCCTACATGAAATCCATGGCCGCACTGCGGTAGCACTCGGATTTCATCTCCGACTGCGAATTCCGCTAAACAAATTGCACATTCGGAGAATTTCGCGGCGTGTTCAGCTGAGTAACTGAACTTCGGTAGCGACTTGAGAACCTTCTTCTTCAAACCTTTATTGGCCGGAGGTGACGAAAAAGCGGAATTTCCGGTTGCCCTGGCGGAGATCCGTCGGATCCAGGCGCAGCGAGCAACAGCGACAAGTCCGAGGACGCAAATGAGCGCACAGAGGAGAGCGGCGAGGATGACGACGAAGTCGGAGTCGACTTGACCGATTCCGGTGGTTGTAGACGGCGGCGACGGTGAAGGATCAGAATTACTCATGAGGAAAGTGCGGAGCTTGATTAAAAGAGAGAAACAAAACGTTGCGCTTAAAACTAAGCAAGTAAGTATTTGATTTTGGAGGCTCTTTTTTTAGCTTTATAAAGGAGTGAGTGAGTACACTGTTTAAGCAATAACCTTTTTTCTAAAACGTACTTATCGTATTAATTATTTTTGGGATAAAGAAATGAAACGATGGAGTCAAAGTCACACTTCTTGTGTTGTAGATCCGTCTTTATTGAAATTTATTATAAAGTTGGAGTTAGGAAAATAAATTTAAAATCTACGTCTAAATTGTATTTGAAAAATTTATAATTAAATGAACCAAAAAGTTTTTCTATTTTTTTAAAAAAAATCTTATGCTATTAAATAGTAACTATTGGAGTTTAGCATGAGATAGCATCATGTTTATGATCACGCTCCAACTAAGAGATTATATTTTTATATTTCTTCTTTATATCTTTTCATGTGATCATTTTATCAAGTGACCCACTGAATCTCAAATATAATATTTTTTGGATAAGAGATATGGATGCATGAATTTGTAGTTTATATAAGTGAATATGTTTAGTCTTATTATAAAATTTATGATATTATTATTATTATCATTATTATACTTATTTACATATGTTCAACTTATTTTCATTCACATGAATTGAGTTTAAACAGAATAGTACAGATGTATGTAGTCAATTTCAACTTGTTTATGATCGAAGCATAATTATTGTTGTGAGAGCTAACGAAAGAGTTCAGTTTCAAATATAAAATTGATAACATAAACTAGAAGAACTTTTTCACGTAATTCAATACTATGAAACTTGGAATCATAACTTTTGAACTTATTCTCTACAAAAATACTTGTTTTTGCAAAAGTCATTTTCATAAAAGCCAATAACAGGAACATGATTGTTGATAAAAGAACCAAATTAAAGTAAACTAGAAGTAGTAGTGTAAAAAGCCTAGCCTAGCTAGTTCCAAATAAATTCAAAGGCAATATATATAACCCTCTTTTCCTCTTTTGGGAGTTTCCTTAACCTAATTAATTACTAGCTTTTTCTTGTGTGCCAAATTCTAAGTGAACCATATAAAGTACTTGAGCTATTCAACTTATCATGGAGTTTGTTGATTTGTAGTCATCACATCTTTTTTTGTTTTTGTTTTTTTGGGTAGATAAAAGATGAAAACAGCATCAATTAGTAGTTAGATTAATGGAAATGACTTTATTATGTCTTTTTTTTTGTTTTCCACCTGGTGTCCGGAGCCCACATTGGAGCTCCGACTAAATCCGGATCGTGCATTGCAGGGCCCATTCGGGGGTGACGCTTCCAACAGGATTTTCTCCAAACCCTGGGCTTGAACCCAAGACCTCTGGTTAAGGGTGAAACACTCCCACCAGTGCACCACAACCCACTAGATTGCAAGCGCATGGGATATTGGGTTGTGATATAGACATGTTGATGTTGACATAATAATTATAACCCTAATTAATAATTATAACAAGAGTTTAACAAAATACATTATCGACGGGATGTAATGGTCCAGTCCGCTAGTCATGATATTGTATGTTCTAGGTCATTATAAATGGTATCATGGTCACTTATGTATCAGCCTTGGTATCATGGTCACTTATGTATCAGCCTTGGTATCATGGTCACTTATGTATCAGCCTTGTCGATGCGGGTGAGACGGGGCAAAACTTAGTGCTGACTCTAGGCAAATAATTCCATGTGTTGGGACAAACCTCATCGAGGATGTTGAGTCCATAAGAGGGTGTATGTGACACCCCAGTTTAATTAGGATAATAAATCTCACATCGATAAAAATATAGGAGAAATATTGAGTATATAAATAAACATGTCTTACACACTAGTGACACGTTTAAGTGACACAGCGAAAGCGTGCTAAGAAATAATATATGATACAGAAAAGTCGAGATTTTACAAGTTAAAGCTCAATTCACTCTGCCATATTTATCACTTCTAAACTAGATCTACTTCACCTAAGTTGCATGAAATATAGCTTTTCTTAAACTTATTGTAGAGAAATTTTTGAAAAAAAAAGAACAAAAAGACGAGGCTAATCATAATAAAGAGAGGTCATTTATATAAGATATCTTAATTTCACCGTCCAATGTTATTCTTTGAGGTCATTTATACCTTTGTCGTTTAACAAATCATCTTATATTTGCTCTTGCTAGCAAAAAGTGAGTGAATTCCACATGGCCAAATAATTGAGAAAAAGATACAAATTTTTTTGTTGATTCTACTTGTGACTATAGTCTAAAGGCAGTTTTGTTACGACACTGATAAAAAAAGCAATTGCCATAACAAATTAATATTGTCAGTATTACTTAAGAGAGCAATTCTGGATTCCAACAATTATAAAACAACTACCAAAATTTACTACTTATGGATTAGTATTCAAAAGAGCCCATTCCTTTTTTTAGGCAAATTTTGCCAAACATTTCTAATATATCAGCCTAATTATTACAGTAGTTTTAAACGTAAATTAAACTTCCTTTCTTATTCTATTAATAATTTGTCTTAATTTTCATGAATATAAACACCATAACTTATTTGTAAATATCCTATAAATAATTATTAAAAATAAAACAAAGCCTCAAGTGACTAGATTAACAACTTGTGGGTCAATGGTCTAGGTCAGCTCAAAGTTGTTATTAGTCAAACTTTCTTCCACTACTTAGCCACTACCAAATATACGAAAGTAAGCAAGAACGATTTTAAATCAGATATCTCATATTCGAGTTTGAATATGAAAGAAGTCTAGTGAGGAAGTGTTTTTCCAAATTAAGAAACAAAAACAAATAAAGCAAAGAGCTAGTTTTTGGTTGAATAGAATAGTAGTGGATGGAGTAGACCAGTAGAAGGAAGTGTGAATTGGTCACCAAAGCACTTTGTTATTATGCACATGACAAGTTGGCACTTTCTTATTTGTTGGTTTATTATAAAAAGATAACTCCTAATTGGAGCACGTTTCTCTTTTCTTTTTTTTCCTAATTTTTTTATCTTATCTTATTTTAGTAGTCTGTCTCTTCCACATTCTTTTAGTGAGAAATTTCCTGCTAGACTCACTTCATTACTTGGCACACAACTTCGAAACTTCTCAAAGTTTGCCCCTCCACCTCTAAACTTTTATTTGAACTCATGATGTGACCTAACTTCACACATTACATGTTGTGTTCTTATATATGAGATCGTGAGCCAAAAATTCACGACCTGCATAAATTTCACCACCTTGATTATTCCAACAAATAATTATATCAAATAAAATTTAGGCAAGTAGAAAGACATCACCTAACTTGTTTTTTTTTTTTTTTTTTTTTTTTTTTTGACTCTATTGAAAGTTGAAACCTTTCGGTTAGGGTCATTGTGCCTAACATTTGGGTTTGAAAGTCAGAAATCATACGTATTTCAAACTTCCAAAGTTGTTGACTTTGAACAAACTATACACACATTTGACACGAAACTGCTGCTATGCGAAAAATCGAGGAAGTCGTTGACGCTACCACTTAGGCAGATTCAAGATTTTAAGTCATTAGGTCTGAAGTCGCGACTACTCTTTCGTGATGATGATATAGTACAACAGTACCTGCCTTCATACGTTGGCAATCGTTTCTTATTGCCCTTTTCTCATATGAAGGGTTAAGACATTTCACAATAGATGATGTAGCTAATAAAAGGACACCACAAAGACATTTTTATGTAATATGTACTTTTAAGTGGACATCCACAAGATAGATTGACATTTCGTGGGAATGTTCTTTCAATATTAAAAAGATTATGTCATATGCACAACAAATCCAACTAAGGATCTGTATTAGTACTAAGATTCATAAAATAACAAAACCTATTACAACTATCAAATAAACTAACGAAATCACATAAGTCTATAGTAAAAGAAAGTGGAGCAAATGATCATTTTCAAACTTCAAAGGCAAAACAAGGATCAGACTGTTTGACACGATTTCTTTACGTGGAATGCAAGAGAATCTAATGAATGTTGCTTGTAGATATGACTTCACAAAAGACAATAAGATGTTTAATGATTACACGATTAACTAACCATCAAACTGCAATTTCGATGTACACTTTGAATAAAACTTAAGTAGAATGGAAGAGAATGAGGAGGGGTGTGCCTATCGGGCAATCAATTACTATATGGAGATGTTTGGGGGCTAAAATAGTACTAGTGGCTAACATTAGGGCAATTAAGGACATGTATGATGGAACCAAGACCCAGGTTACAACAATGAGAGGTGAATCGAAACACTTCTTGATTATGACTGGGTTGCACTAGGGATCAGCCCTTGTCTCGTTCCTATGGACAAATGGAAATAGCATATTCAAGATGAAGTGTTGTGTGTATATTGAGAGATTGATGATGATGTAGCATATTGTATTCGGAATGGGGTGGGTGACCTGGAGGTTAACATCCAGTGTATTGTATAAGAATGTGTCCCAAGTCTTGAGGGTAAAGTTTTACAAAGTGGTGGTTAGACCAACATTGTTGAGTGTTGGTTAGTGACGAATGCCCGTGTTTACAATATGAATGTGGCAGAGATGAGGATACTTAGATGAATTGTATGTGTGGACATATTTGGAAAGATATGATTTATTCTTTTTTAAAATTGACTAGGAGAGAGATGATTAGGAACGAAGTTACATGGGACAACGTAGGAGTGACCATGACAAACAAGATGAGGAACACACACACTTGGTATCTTGTTATAATTTAATAAAACAGCTAAAGAAACCAAGTGCAGAAACACAGCTTCCCGAATCATATAGATTAGCTTTAACTTCACAGTAAATGAGGCAATGCAGACAAACATACATGGAGATCAAAATTTCTTACACAAATGAAAGGTAATTTTCATGAGTTTGAATTTTGTATTGCAATGAGTCACTATCTCTGGATAAATACTCAAAAGCAGATCTTACAGAAGGTAATGCCTTTTTGCAATGATAGAATGTCAAAATATGTAACAGAAACACAGATGACGGATGATGGTTTTCTTCTTTCTTGCAATTATAA